CTCCAGCCCCCTGATTCCCCCCATCTCTGATGCAGACCCTCCAAGCTCCGCTCCAGCCCCTTCCCCCACCCTCTCCTTCCATCCAGCCCTCAGCTGCCCCAGCCCTGATCCACTCACCCCTCCAGGTCCTTTTAGCTCCTCTGCTGCCCCCCACTTCCCAGACCCACCTCCAGCCCGGTCAGGCCCCCACAAGCCCTGCCCCAGCCAGCTCCCTGCCTCTGTTCCCCCCAGCTCCACTCCAGCCCCCTGATTCCCCCCATCTCTGATGCAGACCCTGCAAGCTCCGCTCCAGCCCCTTCCCCCACCCTCTCCATCTCTGGGGGCGCCTATCCTGCCACCCCATCCCTCAGTGCTGCGATTCCCCCCACACCGCCTCCACATGGGCTTGTGGGCTGCTCACCCCCATCCCAGGCCCCTCGGCGGAGCCTTGTGGGAGCTGGTGTGACTGTCCCATGGGCATCGTGTACCTACACCATGGCTTGGGCCTCGGTAAGGAGCTCTGGCTTGCTGGGGGGCAGGGGGAGGGAGGGAGAACCCCCAGCTCTCCTGACCTCATGGGGAGCCTCATGAGGTCTTAACCCCTCCTCCCACAGGTAACGGCTGGAGCAGGTCCCCAGTACCCCCCACACACACCTCCTGCGCTGTCGGGTGCCCTGGGTTCACCTTCAGTCACAAATTCATTTGGGGTCTCAACTGCACCCCTGTCAGCAACACAGCACAACCGGGGATCCGGAGGAGCCCAGGGCTCGACTAGCAGGGGCCGTGGGTCAGGACGGCTCTCCCCATAGCTCCCGTCCTGCCCAGCCTGAGAGCCACTGCCCCATCCCTGCCCAGCCTGAGCCCCTGGTTCTCCCCCCTGCCCCTGTCCCTGCCCAGCCTCAGCCCCCCGCTCTCCCCATAGCCCCCGTCCTGCCCAGCCTGAACCCCTGGTTCTCCCCATAGCTCCCGTCCTGCCCAGCCTGAGAGCCACTGCCCCATCCCTGCCCAGCCTGAGCCCCTGGTTCTCCCCCCTGCCCCTGTCCCTGCCCAGCCTCAGCCCCCCGCTCTCCCCATAGCCCCCGTCCTG